GTGCCAAGTCCACACACACACACACACAAATACACACTCCACAGGAGTTCACTGAAAAAACCCCAAACTGTTAAGTTCATGAACAAAAACCCTCAATCAAGCAGTTTTAGCACAACAGTGCACCACCMCACTGCAGGTCCAGCTGTACAGTGTCCCAAACATGAGAATCCACATATTTATTTCATTCAGTTTCACTTAAAAACACATTTATGCAGGAAAATAATTTATAGACAATGCTAAAGTCACTTTCAGGGATGAGAAAATTAACACTTGTGAATATATTATGATGTTGAACAACTGCAATAGACCGTTCAATAGTTACAAGTAGTAGTGGAGCATGACTCTTCCGGGTCACAGTTCAAACGAGAATATGCCGAGGTTGCTATGAAAACACCATTGGAATTGTGCAAATTCAACAAGCTTAAAAAGCAGATTCATAGCTTAGACATTTATGAAAAATCTCRTCTGTGATCCTAAGAGAAAGCTTAACACAAATTAGCTCAGAGAAAATATGCCATGTCTGTATAATGGCATAAATTTACCTGTTGAATTTGTTCAAAATCATAACAGCTAGGGCTGCCACGATTAGTCGAGTAGTCGACAACTAAATGACTATTAAAATAGTCGATTAGTCTTTTTTKTTGTTTTGTTTTTCTCCCCAAACTGCTTTGACACCTTCCACTGCCACATCTACCTTTCTGTCCTTGACACACATGCACAGTAGTGGTAACTGGGATAGGCCGTGGACGTCACAAGACATTATGCAGACAGGCTCTGGTATCATGGCTACCCGGCAATGGAGCTCAAAAGTGTGGGATCATTTTTAAGAAAATGAAAKAAAAACCTGTGCATTGCAATATCTGCAAGGCAGAACTTGCCTTCCACAGCAATTATTTTTAGTTAGCACATAGCTAAAATCTAACCATGGTTATATAATAACAGCTGCATTCTGGTGCGATAATCTGGATGTTTCATATTCAATTAACATATGATTCGATTGGTCGACTAATTGAAAAAATATTTGGTGATTAGTCGGCTATAAAAATAATTGTTTGTGGCAGGCCAAATAACAACCTTGGCATTTTCCCTAAAACCACAAAATGGTATATCAGGTCTTACAGTATATATTTCAATGTTAATGCAAGTCTTGTTTGGACTTGAAAAGCTGTAGAAACAAACAAGGAATTTTATCAGCTAAATTATAAACTAAATCAGGCATGTTTCTGCCTTCACACATATAAGATACAACTACATCTTTATTACCACCACTGTTTGTCAAATGTTTAGGCATGCCTCCACAAACTGGACAGTTATAGTTACATGTCTACTTGTCATAAAAACTCTTATCAAACTAAAAATAAAACTTTGTGGCACTGGTAGAAGTTGAAGTTTTAGCTGCAGATATGACCCACATAGCAAAATTTGTCTGGCCCAGTTCTGGCCCAAAGAAGGCACTACCACTCAGCCCAGATATTGCAAAGAATCATGGCCCTTTGGTGACCCGGGTATGGTTTGCCAGAGGTGGTCTATGCATGGGCCAGTACCACATAAACCAAACCACAACTGGGCCAGCTGTGGCATTGACTGATTTGGGCCACAAAAACCAAACCAAAATAGGATCATTTGTAGCCTGGTAAAAACCAGACCCTTGTCTTTCACTTTGCTTCGTACAAGGGTCTGGACTCTCGGCTATAGAGAAGTGATTCTTGCTGGAGCCGTGGCCTCTGCTGAAGTTTAAAATGAGTGGATCGGTAGGCCTTAATGTATATGTGCCAGCTCCATTGTGAAGGAGGCTAAGCTAAAAAGCTAACCGGAAATTGAGTGCGCTGTAAACAACCCTACGGAGAGGAGAGAAGTACCGAGCTGAACGAGACGGCTGTAAATGAGAGCTGCTGCTTTGTGAGAAAATTTTCATTCAATTTGGAAGCCTTATCAACACAGACTGGCTTCATTCAATTCTTCCACTGCCGTATGCTAAACTAACTAGCAGACACTGATCAGAAAATCGATGTCATTCAAAACTCCGCCTCCTGTTTGCTGATTGGCCCAGGTGAAATAAATTGCAAGCAGACACTGCACAGAAAATCAATGTTCTGCTCTCTGATTGGCCCGGATGAAATGATCTGGAAGAAATCCTTGTCTATGGGAGAAATCCCAGACGGAGCAGTGAAGTGAAACTAGAATTGAGCGGAACTGCGTAGGAAAGCAAGGGCAAGGCTAGGTCATTTGGGATATGCCATTTTAAAAACAATGCCATCATTGCCAGATACGCCCATATGCAGTTAACAAACCACTTACCATGAAACCAGATCTGGCTCACACCGGTCTGCCATGTGGGTAGACGTAAAATACGTAAATTACCATATTAGTGGTCTGTCTGCAAGGTTTATAGACCTTTATTGGGAACGTTTTGAAAAAGTTCTAACTGATAAATCAATGTCAGAGGTCATTTACTTCAGATCCAATGAAATGAAAAAAAAATTGAAGTCGAACATTTCACACAAATAAACATCTAACATCAAATCCGGCACCGAAAACTTGGATACATGCAGCAGAAACCATACTAATGATTAGTGACACAATCTAAAAAAATAAAGGAGCTTAGCAAACAGCTTATCAATGGCTCCAACTGCTTGAGTTAGGCTTTGCCAGAAGCCATTCTCATGTGCCCAAACCGACTTCAGTGGATCTAACCTAACACATGGTCATTATAAGTGCTGTTATGTGTGCTTATAAAGACGTTTTTATGGGCAACTCATTTTCTGTAGAGCTGCAAAAACAAGACAAATCTATCAAGTTTCCTAACTGCATCACTTAAAGCCTAAAAATGAAGTGACACCTTGTAAAATGACTGGGATTGAACTTATTGCATGTAACATAAGTGCACTCAATTTTTATTTGAAAGAAAAAAATCTGATTGAGTGTCCCAGTGGTTCATCATTAGGCTTTAATCCACAGCAGTGCCAGCATAATTTCCACTAACAACAGCATCCTGAGCACCATTAGTTATGACCATGAAAACCGACTCAGCTATTAAACTCGCTAAACCACATATTTCACAACAAACTGGAGGCAGCAACTGGCCATAAGAAGCTCAATGATGCACGACTGGCAACAAAGAGAACCATAATTTGGTTGGAGAAAATATTTATGTTCCTCAATCAACATCAGTTCTGGACTTGGAGATTAATTTTATTCCGACGCATCAAAAGGACCATCTATTTGCACAAAGCAACCCACTCCTCTATAGTTAAGCTGTGCATGTGTTGTGCCTCATCTGGTAAAACAAGCCAGTTACTCTCTGCTCACTGAAAAACAACTTCTGAGACATGAGAGAAGTTGTTTAGAACAGACAACCAAAAGACACCAACATAGCAGACAAGCCAGGAGGGGAAGAAGAAGCAGAGAAGTAAAAACCTTTGTTAACGAAAGGCTACATTTTTTTCAGGAGTGTGTCATCAGCCACAAACACTCACACACACATACACAGTAAGAGTCCCAATTATCAGATTTCTCATCAGAAGCCAAATTAAGCAGAATATCTCATGCCAGGATGCTATTTATCAGAGGTGGAGGAAACCTTCCCCAAAATGTGTCCCTTATTTGCAGCTTATCGATTTACCAGTGAAGCAATAAAAAAAAACTGTTATAATGAATATTGGAGGTAGTTGCTGAAATGTTGTTCCCTGGGGCACGAGGAGAAAGGTAGCAGCAGCTTCATGTCCAATTACTTTCCAAATTCAGCACAAAAGCCCTCGGCCAATTTGTGATGTCAATACCAATTTATAGCCTACATCCCAGTGTAGACTACGCAAATTACTGTGTGTTTTTCTTTCGCAGGGTTTTTAACTGGAATATCACGGTGTTGGATTAAACCTGAAGAAAAGGAAAGCTCAACAATAGGGCCGTGATAAGGTCAAGCTTTCACAAGCTGCGTGGAGCAAATGTGATGAATTAAGCAGCTTGTTAAAACAAAAGACAGTTTGACCAATATGTTTCATTTGATCTACAAGACAATTTCTCCACCAGAAGGTCGGGGAGAGTGTAATAGGGCATTTCATCAAAGAAGCCAATTTGCCTGCTATAGCAGGAATTAAAACCTTCTAAATAGGAGAAAGTTGATTCAGTCMTTGAACTGCTCCATCCTCTAAGACACCAGCTGTGGTGGGTGAAATATCACTTCAATATCCCCATTATGCTTCACTTGGGGGCTCAGAGTGGACACAGCTGTAATAAACCTCCATATCATTCTCCCCCCACTCATCACAGTGAGCTCTTTTTGGGGTGCATTAATCTAATGCCAYCATTTGTGATTTCGCAACAGTGATCTGTTTCCTTCACCGCTGTCTACGCTAAACTCTGCAGACTTGGGTTTATTTTTTTTTTTTAAAAAAGATCTGTAATTGTCTGTAAACCAGAGGCTTCAGATCAGTTTTCTAATTGCAGCAAGTGGAGCGTCGCCTGGAAAGTGCTGCGCTGCAACACCAGAGTTTGTGCCTTATGCAACTGAGGGTTTTCTTCATTTATTAAACCAATTCTGGTCCCTGTAAAGGGACAGAATCAGTGCAGTCACGCGCACTTCAACTGAACTCAAGTCCTTTCTTATTTAAAGAGAGTTTGGGCAGAAAACGCACATTTTTCTGCTTGTATTTTGCAGCAATTTTATTTATTATTATTTTTATCATCATCATCATCATCATCATTATTATTATTATTATTATTATTATTATTATTATTATTATTATTATTATTACTATTATTATGATTATGAACATAGTTGGGGGAAAATATGCTGCGTCTTATAGTTTGAGCAGCACGTTTCCATAAAAAAAAGGCGCATGGATCCATCACTTCAAGATGCAGAACTCCACTCTCACAGAAAATTGAATAAATGTTCCCTGACACTTTTCCATACAAATCAGCCTCTTCGTCACTTTTCATGAAGCAGAAGCTTTTTAGTCCCAGCACTGAAACAAACCTGCCCTCTTCTCCTGTCTTACCTTGAGCGACTCCCGGGTGCGCGAGCACGCAKAGCAGCAGGATCCCCCGCGCGGCGCACATTCTCGCCAGGCTAGAAGCCCCGAGTCGAACTCCACTTCTCAGTCCACTTTTACCCATGGCAGGCACGGCGTAGTAACAGACATACACGCGCAAAACTCCTCCGTCCACAATGTTTGTGTGTGTGTTGGGGGGGAAATAAGAGACCCCCGCACTTCTCCTCCTCCAGCACAAAGATCAGCTGATGGAGTCCAAAAGCAGCCGCGGTGCGGGTGTAAAAAATAAAACAATGTTAACAGCCAGGTATTTCAAAGCGCAGGTTAAAGCTGCGTGCAGAGGTGGGAATAAGAGCCGGGTCCCTCCACTCGTGTCAGCGGCTCTGCTGCCTCACTGATCTCCTCTCCTCTCGGCCGCGGCGCGGACTCCGTTTACGCAGAGAACGAGAGAGAGAGTGTGTGAGARAGAAATGCCACCGCCCTCTGGCTACCATGCGAGACTCCAAGTTTCTGCTTCCTCTCTCCGTTGGCCGCGTTCCTCTCTCCCCTCGGTCCTATTTCAGTAACTTACCCTGATCTGGGAAGGAAAACAGATATAAAACGTTTCGTTTGGTCTGTTGCGCTCCCTGATGTGCGTTAAGGGCGAGGATTACCTCACACTCCCGCTCCAAACATACCATTAAATTATTTTAAATTGTGTTATTCATAGCCCATTAAGGAAAAACAGTYATTTAAATTTAAATGGTCGGTTATCTTTTTTGTTTTATTTTCACATGACTTGTATAATGTTGGAGAGGTGTTTTTGAGCCGTTGAGCCTCTGCGCATCCTTGGGAGCTTTAAATGAGAAGCAAACTGTTTTCAGACAGTTCACTGCCTTATGCCTGCCCCCTCACGGCCACGTGTGTTTAATCTGCAAAGGACCAAACTTGCTGTGAAATTTTAAAAATGAAGTTGGGCTCATTTTCATGTACATAATACTATGCAATGTTACAGCACTTTACGTTTAAAGGAAATTCTTATATAGACATGAGCACAACACCTCATTGGCTAATGACAAAAGCCTTAATGACTGACCAAACCAGCTCAATATATATTGTGCAGCTTCACAAGCAAGCACACACTGACTCAGACACTTCTACAACTTCCATAACTCTCCACAGCCTTTGCTGCACAGTCATTTGAGCAGCACAGCCTGGATCATGCATTGTAAATGGCAAATAGTAAAATATGTGCTTGGTGCCATTTGTCACCGCAGCAGCCCCGCAGCTCAGTGACTACCACTGCAAGTAGCTGCTACCCGCAGGGACCTGTAAAAGCCTTTTTATTCTGCCACTTTATTGGGAATGGGAAAGCAATAAGGTTCACAAGAAACATGTGGCACACTCGGATATAGATCAGCACTTACACAAGTTAGAGTCAATGGCGGCGGGGTTTTCACAGTTCAGTGTTGCAACACAACACAGACACTTAATGTTGATTGCCAATGACTTAACAAGGAAGTAGTAGTTTTATAAGTCACTAACCATTCCGACAAGTTCTGCTGAAACGGCATGACTGCGTCTGGCTGCATTTTTGTTTGTTTCACACTCTGTCCATCCATTCATCCCACTGAACGTAAGCTGCATTTACGTTCACTACATTTATTGCACTGTTTAGATGGAGTCAATTTTAATTGTTGAATAAATTCGGCGTTTTCACTAAACCACCATTATCTTCACTGTGTTGAAGTTTATGTCTTGAGCTGCCAAYTATTGGCCAATAAAAACACAGTCTGGAAGTAATGGCAAATGTGACAGCTTAAAAAATTATTCACAAAATATAAGTGAAAGATGTTGAAGTTTTAAAAGTCGGATTCCACATAGAATTAGTCACATGGGAAAACTAAGGTCCCCTGAAATCACACAACACCCGTAAACTCATGGATGCAAACAAAGAGTCAGAATGTTCGTAGACGATGAGGGATGAATCATGTTATTTAAATCTGACATCAGAGCCTGCTGTTCTCTTTGCTATCTAATTGTATGATGTCATCGTGTGTTGTAAGTGTGAATGTGTGAAAGAGATGACTCTCAGCTATGGACTAAAACAGCTCTTTTTTTGTTTGTTTGTCTTCTAAGGTTGATTAGCTTTAGCGGCCATCTTGAATTTGATGCCAAAGGGTAATATAAATCCCATAATTACAACCTGTGAGTTTCTTTGCAATCTGTTCTCTGATTCATGAGCTGTTTCGCCAACAAACAGTTACATAAACTGTTGCCTACATTTCAGGTAGCGACAACAATAGAAGTATAAGTATTTCCACACAATCCACATGTTGATTTTGTTCTATCGTCACAATGAAATAATTTTAACAAAATTTCAGCACGTCCAACTTGTTGCTCTTGTTAAGACAGATAAGTAGATTTACAATCCTCATATCTATCCTGTGCAGAGTCTCGCTACAGCTGTCAAGTTGGTTGGCATCCACTGGAAACCTCAAGGCAGTCCTTTTAAACCACAATCTGGTTTCTTCACATCTCTTTGATTCGTATAGCTTCACAAAAAGTCAGTTATCTTTATACGGGAAAAAGGGATGGATGTTTCCAGCTTTGATGCTAAGCTGCTTGTAAAATGTGCACCTCAAAAATAAGTTGAATTAGAATAAGAATTAGAATATTGAAGTTTTGGTGACTGGCCTGATGCGTGTTCACAACTATTTGAATTAAATATTTGCTTTTGTTTTACCCAATTATTATTCTCACTTATTGTTTTATATAAAAAAGTACAAGTGTTTTAGTCAAAAGCATTGATCACTGACTGGGCGTTTTTAGAACAATTCCAGCTTGGTAAGTAGAAACACTTGTTTCTTATCAAAAGTGCAACTYCGACAGCGTCATTTAAAAAAATTCAGCATGCTAGTAGTACACAAGAAAACCAAGACACTATTCTTCCTCTAAAACTTGCATCCTGTTGTACCATTTTATCATACCTGTGGAGGTTTATCTAAGTGAGTGTCATGTCTGTTATTCCTATTGCACATTACAACAGAGAGCAGGCCCCCATGAGGGTGACTAGGTTTAATCTCTTCAAGCAGTTACATAATGGCCCCAAGTTCATGTTTTAATCAGCAAATAGATGACTGTGCCCAGGGACGAATAATCACATCTATAACTTTCTAATCTAATATCCAGCTACATTCAAGTGGATTAGAGAGGGTTGTCGAGGGAGAGGAGGGGCACAGGTGGTACACCTAGATGTGGATGTTTGTAAGGGGATTTATTTGTGTGTGTGTGTGTGTGTGTGTCTTTGTGCAACATAC